TTTCGTGGGGGACTCTGTCGAAGGCTTTGCTAAAGTCGAGATATACCACATCATAATTGTGCCCCTCGTCCACCGATTCGAAAACTGATGAAAAGAATGTTAATAGATTAGTTAGGCAAGAACGTCCGCTTGTGAAGCAATGCTAGGAATCATTGATCAATCGGTGCTTCTCCAGATGATTTCGAATAGAGTTTGAAATGATTACTTCCAGTAATTTGCCTCCTATTGATGTTAGACTGATTGGGCGGTAGTTAGAGGATAGTGATCTATCCCCCTTCTTGAAAATCGGTATTACATTCGCTATCCTCCAGGATTCTGGTAATACACCTGTTTTTAAGGACATGTTAAACAACTTTGCTAAAGGCATACTAAGCTCTTCCTTACATTCCTTTAATACTCTGGCAAATATCTCATCGGGACCAGGTGACTTATTAGGCTTTAGTTTGTCTATTTGCTTACTAACATCGTTACTTGTCACTACTATCTCACTTAATTTGTTTTCTTCACTATCTCTGAATAGTCGGTGCCTCGGGTATCATGTTTAAATTTTCGGTGGTGAAAACTGTTGAAAAATATTTATTCAAATTATTGCTCATTTCTCCGTCGATATCAGTGAGCTCAACGGAGTCTGACCGTATTGGTCCAATCTTTTCTCGTGTTTTAGTTTGATACATTTGGTAGAATCCTTTGGGGTTTGTCTTCGCCTCCCTAGCTATCCTTACCTCATTATTCCTCTTTGCTTTCCTTATCTCTGTTTTAACCCTACTCGCCAATACTCTATAATAGTCCCGGAGGTGAATTTCGCCACGATTTCTCCTTCTACCTATAGCCTTCCTTTGGCCAATGATGTTCTTTAAATAATTATTTATCCATTTAGGGTCATTGTTATCTCATCTGAGTTTTTTGTATGGTATGTTCTGCCTTTGTGCATTAAGTAACTCACTATTTAAATTGTCGTGGAACTCGGCTATCTCAGATCTCGTCATCAAGTCGGTGTCATCTGTCAGGTTCACGGCCAAGCGCGACACCCCTTCTCTCAGCTGCCTCTTTAAACTGTCAAAGTTTGCCCTTCTGAAATCTGATACTTTAGTGGAATTTTCCTTACGTCTGCCCTGAAAATCTAACTGGAATCGAATTTCTTTGTGATCGCTGTTTGCAAGTTCGTTCCCTACCTCGACATTGCTAATGAGGTTTTCTCTGTTCGACAGAACTAAATCCAGTATATTATTACCCCGTGTGGGTTCGGTTATATGTTGACTTAGGAAACAGTCCTGGATCGTCTCGAGAACATCCTCTGATTCTGAGTTACCCGAAAGGTCAGTCCAATCTATTTGGCCAAGGTTAAAGTCGCCTACTATACAGACTTTGTTGTGTATGGAAGCCCTGCACATTTCATCCCAGATAAGTCGCTCATTGACGCGATCAAGATTTGGGGGTCTATATATTACTCCTGTGATTAATTTTTCCCGACCGTCGCCTAATTCTATCCAAATTGTTTCTGTATTCCTCAGTTTTTATTAACTTATTTATTTCACACTTCAGATTATCCCTAACATTGATTGCTACTCCGCATCCCTTCCTGGTCTGCCTATCGGTATGGAACAGTTTGTAACCCGCAATTTGGTATTCGACTGGTAATTCACGTGTGTCTAGGTTGATCCATGTTTCAGTGAATGCAATTATATCGATTTCTTCGGTACATACCAAGGCCCTAATATCATCCATTTTGTTTCTCATACTTCTACTGTTTGCGTAGTATACATTTAAGTTAGTCGTGTTCTGAGTCCTCCCCTTACCGAGTTTAGTTTTAAACTCCGTCTAATTTAGTTTTGTCATCATTCCTAACACTATTTCCCTGTAATCTTTCGCCTTGTTTACCCGCTCCCACTGCAGTCTCCTCCACCCCCGTGCCCATATGTTCTCTTAGCAGTTTAAAGACTTCGATATCTTTTGAACTGCCCCCTCTAGAGCCCCAGCCAGGGTTGCTACTCCATCCCTAGACAGGTGCACCCCATCCCTAGCATAAAGGTCCCTTCTGCCATAGAAGTTGTCCCAGTTGTCAATGAATGGGACTGATATTGACTTGCAATATCTGTCAAGACGGTCGTTGACACCAACTGCCCTTGACAACCATGCACTGTCAACTCCCCTTCTAGGCAGGACACTGCATATGATAGGGATCCCTCCCTTAGTCCTAATACGATCTATAGCTGCCTTGAACTTATCAAGAAGTTCCTCGCTCCTACACCGGCCAATATCATTGTCTCTTGCACTGAGGCAGATAATGGGTTTGTTCCCATTACCAGAGAAGATATTGTCCATCCTGTCAATTATATCCCCCACCCCAGCTCCTGGCAAACTCACCCTCATCCTATTTTTGTTTTTACCACAAAAGGCCCTGTCCATGTACCTTACCTGTGAGTCACCAACAATTAAAGTTTTTATACCTTCCTTGTCATCCCTGTTTCTGACTCTATTAACGTTCAATTCGTCTATCAAGGGACTGAACGGGTTGGTACACTTAGCTGTTGTTGTCGTTGTTGTCGTCGTATCCTTCGGGTGCTTTTTCACCACCAGCTTTGTTTTCCCACTACTCACAACTTTCCACTCTCGAGTTTTCGTCAGACACTGGCTTTACTCGTCCAGCCTCTCCTTTTAACTTTGCCAGCTCTTTCCTTAATTTCAGGTTCTCCAACGTGGCCCTCTCAATTTCTAACTTGGCCCTCGCCAATTCTTCAATGGACCACTCCAGTTTGGTCAACAAACTCTCATACCCAAGACCGCACATAGCACTGGCCATATCTGATAATTATCCCTCCAGAGCTAACCCTGCCGTGACATTTCCCCTAGTGCCTAAAACTGTATCTTGCTCTTGAGACCACACCTGGATTACGCAGTTCAGTTCTGGTCACCGTATTACAGAATGGATAGAATCCTTGGAAAGAATTCAGAGGAGAATGACAAGACTAATCCCGGGCATTAGGAACCTTGAGTATAGAGACAGGTTAAAGCATCTTAATTTGCACTCCCTTGAGAGACTTAGAGCGAGGGGCGACCTGATAGAGGTGTATAAGTGGAAGGAGGGGCTAAACAAAGGGGACATTACAAAGGTACTCAAATTATCCAACCAGGAGCGAACTCGTAACAATGGTTTTAAATTAGACAAACTTAGATTTAGGCGTGAAATAGGTAAACACTGGTTTGGAAACAGAGTAGTGGATGAATGGAACAAGTTACCAAATATCATCATTAACTCGAATACGCTGAATTGCTTCAAACATAGGTTGGATGCTCATATGAGCAATAGTGGTTGGGTGTAAACGGGACTGCCCAGTATGGGCCAATAGGCCTGCTGCAGTTCCCTCCATTCTTATGTTATGTTCTTATCTACTATACTGGGACGCCATAAACGGTTAATTTGGATAGTAGTCCGGTTTCGAATTCGGTTTTTTTGTGTGCAACCACATTACCTACCAAAAATTTTAATTTCTTCAGACACTTCGCGAGTTCGAAAAACCACAACATTCCCTTGAAGAAATCTGTTTCCGGAGCTCGAAAAAGGGTCCCACGTTTCCCATGAGCACCATTCTCTTTTTTCCTACTGATGAGAGCAGCTCTTCAAGCGGATGTTTTTTTTTAATTCTCTATATACCCGTTATTACTCGTCCTCGCAGAAAGTGTCATAGAAGAAATTCGTCTTATTTTTATTAAGTAATGTGGTGGCAAACAATAAAATAACGGACTTCGAAACCCCTTAATCAATACTTTTCATAGCTGACGTGGTTAAGGGAATATTTCACTTGAAGTTGTGAAAACCGTGTCATACCTGTGAAACCCTTGTAGGTCCTGAAAAAACGGGGTTTTGGTCCAGTTGTTGTCGAAGTCCTTGAGATTTTGCCAATTCTCAGAAGCGTGTAGACCACAACAAAAGTACGATTTCTTACTTGATTTTTTTCGCGGTTGACGCCTGATCTATTAAAAGTATATTATGGCTAAAGGTCGGTATAGGTACACCAAGGAACTATATATTTATATTTATTTAGGGAGAAAGAGTCAAACAAATACTTAGAAGTTTCGGTCGCAAATTTTTATTTTTCAGAGTATTTTAACCAATATGATTCCCTTCTCCCCCCCCCCCCAAATAGATACCAACCTTATAGGTTATTAAAAGTGGGCAGGGCTTTGTAGTGGGAAACTGGGAAAAAAACACTAAACCCTTAAAAACCTTAATTAACTTTTCCGAACTAGTTAAGAAGTGCTTTAGAGCTTATGGGTCCCTCGTCATCTAAACACCGAAAAAACTGCCTTCGCATACTAAATACTGAAAACACTGATAAGATTTTTATAGTTCTAGGGTTTTTATTGGTTAGGAAAGGTTAGGTAAGCTTTTCAAAGGTGAGATTCGTTTGAAACAAAATACACCAGGAAAACCGATTTTTGTTAGTTTGGTTAATGTTACTAAAACAAATGTTTACCTATATTAAAATCAATTTAGTGGCCCCCCTTGTTCTTTAATTTGCTTTATGGGAGTTTCACAATATATTACAAGCACTTAACTCAAACCCATCGCGAAAAGCAGATTTATAAAACCATTCACAAAGACGTCCCGTCGCAGGGTAGTGAAGTGTAAGTTAGGTCTGGGGATCATCTTCCTTATATAGTTTTCACTCGTTTCCTATCCTTCTCTGGTTTACTTTGTTTTATTTTAAGACAAACACCAGTGTAGAAATAAAATAGCAAAGCTAAAGTAAACATTTCTCTTGGTTTGCTGCCTTAGTGTTCCTAGCTCAATTTCTTGCCAAGGTATTGAATTTTGTTTTCAGTGCCAAGACAAAAGTAGAAATTGAAATTGGGGATCAATCTATTTTACACACTTAAGGCCATGGTAAATTAATTTCGGGGATAGTCGTAATTATAGGAGTGATTCACACCTCTGTATTTAGGAGTGTTAAAGGTCGTCCGATTCCCGACATCTCATTTCAGTATCTTTATCCTCACAGTTAACTCTCCGGACATCTACAACTCGTGGAAACACTGTGTTGACCCCCAAAAATGTTGCAGGCACATCAAGGACTCCCTGGCCTTCCAACAGTGCTGTCATGACAATGGCTGCTGCACCAAGTTCTGTGATGACCCGAGTGAAGGTAAGAGCGGCAGCACCCGAGACTAAATTAAAGGCTGGACACGACAGCAGGAGGGGGGGGGGGGCGGGTAAGCTGGTATAAGAGAAGTTTGTTCCCTGCCAGAATTTATTGATATGGGAGTTATGGTGGGGTGCGGTGGCTGAGTGGATATAGCATTCAGTTCCTGTAATAGGTATCACTGGTTCGACCCGAAGACACCCACAGCCAACCCAGCGGAATTGATTCTTATATAGGAATTGAGAAAAAACAAGGTTGTCATTTGCAAGAGAAAAGTCATAGAAGGAAAGTTTCTTAAAATTGTCTAAACTACTAATTCCAATAGTTAAATTTCTAAGATTCCCCGGATGACCGAAACTAAAATTTTGCCGACGGGAGTCTTGGGGTTACAGCAATGCTGAGGCGTTTTGCTAGCCGCAGGGCTGGCAACACACCCCTCCTCCCTCTTATTCCGGCAAGACGAGCGGCTTGACTCAATACCGGTCAAGTCACTCGGCTAGTGAAGTTGTCTGTAGGGTCAAGCAACCACCAATTGGTCGGCCTCACATCGGTCCCGAGGCTGCCGCGCCGTCAGGGCCAAGTGGAAGGGTGGGTATACTTCCTCACTACCCCTGGGGACAATGTCTTCCTCTTGTTGGGCTCTGGAAATTCACTCATTAGCACCCTTAACCCCTTCCAACCCCAGGTGGTGCAACTGGGACTCCTGTACCCACCGTTTTGACCTCGCCCGCCAGCGGGTCGAACATTGATAAATTTGAGGAGACCTAAAGGACAAAAACAAATTAAAAATAAGCAGAAAGGCCCTTCAGGGGCCAATGGTAGAGACAATGCCTGGTACACTTAAGTTGGCAGCACATGATAGATATTCAGTGATAAAATTCAATTGATGATGTATCAATAATGGATCTTGATAAAATTTGAATTACACCGCACCCTTGTCCGGGTATCCGGCGGCGAGCCTCGTGTCTCCCCCAACGGATGGTAGCCTCCTGGTGGCGGTGTCGTCCCCGGAGGAGCGTTCGTCTTTAGCACCGTCCACACGATCGAGCAGTGCTCAGCGGGCGTTGCCCGTTTACCGGGCAAAGCCTGTGTGTTGTTGGACACACGGGGGTGGTTGGCGGCAGTCATAGTCGGGCGCCGGTAGCTAGTAGGTGGTCGGCAGTGGCGGGTGCGGTACGATCACCATGGTGTGTCGCAGGAATAATCGCCGGACAGTTAAAGCGAAGAGCATAGCGTTGTGTACCATAATAATTGCTGCTATGTGCAAAAAGAAGAACCAAATGCAGTAAAGGGAATGGTGCAAAGAGTGGTTAGGTCGAAGAAAAGTATTGGGAAGTCATGCCACGATTTTACTGCAAGATGGACATGAGCAAGACTTCACCAATTACATGAGAATGAATCCCAACACCTTTTACAAACTTCCAGCGAATGTGGAACCATATATAAAAAAAAAAGGATACCAATATGAGGGAGAGTATATCTACAGAGGCTCGTCTAGAGGCAATGCTCATATATCTTTCAACTGGGTGCACCTGCACATCACTTCAGTATAGAACGAGGATTTTAAAACAAAGTTTGTCTCGCATAATACCTGCAACTTGTCAAGCCATGTATGAAGTACTCAAGGAAGATTACTTGCAGGTGAAATTTGTAGTACATAAAAATTAATTGAATGTTAGAATTGATATGCATAGACAGGAAGCTATGGGACTAGAGCGAGGAGAGCGGCAAGAACGAAGAGTACAGTCGAATGTCCTCATTACATAATACATAAGCACTCTCCCGTTTATTGTCACGCCAATAATGTACATTGCATAAGCTTATTTGGTTATACACTGGACATCTGGACCGAGCGGGGAACATATACGTATCACATTTGCAGTACTTAACTTAGGTTTTACAATGTGATGGCATACGTTCTGTCAGTATCTCTGTTCATACCTCACCGATTTGAGGACCCCGAGGTCAGCGGTGGCGTAGTGATCAGCTGTCACGTGAGGTTCCAATAATAACACGTGTCTTGTATTGGTCTTGTGTAATGTTGAATATTAATGACAATATTATAGGAGTGTCGGTTTTCCGGTTTTATCGATTATTAATATTGAAAAGATATTAAAACATTAATATTTGTGAAGGGGTCCCAGTGTCAACTCGTTTGTCTGGCAGAGTCGTCGCTCCATATCTGGCAGCAAACAACCAGGCAGGCGGACCATGATTTCGCTCAACGACGGGCACGGGCAATCCTCTGGTTTGCCCGCCAATTTTGCCCGATAACGGGCATTTAGCGCGTGCCCACCGGGCACTGCTCGTTCGTATGGACGGGCTTTAAGAGAGATCTCCCAGATCCCCGGAGCTCGGGTTTCATGTGCCCCTCGCGTGACTCAAGGTAATTGCAAGTCTTCTCTCCAGACGTGACGATAATCGAAAGAAAATTTTTTTTTTAAAGATTTACATCCATGAGATGTGATGACATTAGAACAATATAAAAAGGTTGGTCTCCTTGATCTAACCCCCACTTTGTTGCTAACACTTGAAAGGCTAGTTTTGCCAGAAAGTCACATTGGCCTTGATCCAGCTCCAGGTGCTTCCACTGCCAGGAGTTTGGGCACGTTAGTCGTTCATGTCGCAGTTAGCAGAACGGCTTTCCAAGTGTATGTGTCATGTGGTAAGCTGGACTATGACAGGACAAGGACTGTTCTGGTCCTGTCTCGTGTTCCAGCTGCCATTGGGCTGGCCCAACTTCGTCAAAGGAGTGTGACCGTTACAAACTCGAGAGGGAGGTGCTAGAGATTCGAAGCAAGAAGATTAGCCTTGCCGAGGTAAATCGGTGAACTCTCTCCCGGTTTGTGCGTCTGGGAGTTCTTACACCTCGATGTTATCCCCCCTTCCCTGCAGTTCTTTTGCTGCGACAAGATGCTCTTATTTTCTCTGCTACTTTTCGCTTGTCTCCCTCAACTGATGATAGTTTTACCATTTCCCCCTACATCTCCCCCATGGAGGTTTCGGGGGCCCCCGTTTCGGCCGTTTCTGGTGCCTCGTCGAACCAGAAGCGGTGGTCCTAAGGTGTGGCCTTCGGGTACCCACTGGTGAGTCTCTGAAGTCTTCCTAGGTATCGGCTACGGTCGTCACCCCAGTGACTCTGACTCTATGCCGGATGTTTTTGGTGTTCAAGCCCCTGGGGCTCGCTCCCTCGCACGAGGCAGGTCTAGCGAGGTCATACATGGAGATTCGACTTCCACGGGATCTTGTACTCTGCTCTCGGCCTTTTTCTCCTTAGCGAAGCCCGCTGCTTACAAGCAGAACAAGAATATAGTGGGTGCTGAGAAGCTCCCATCTAAGGGCTTTTCTAAGCCTCGCAAGTAATAAATGTTTAGTTTACTTCAGTGGAATCTCAGTGGGTTACGCTCAAACTGGGAGGAGCTCTAACTGCTCCAGCTCAGGTTCTGGCCGGTCTGCGCATGTCTGCATGAAACACTGGTTGGCTCGTGCTCCCATCCCTCTCCCAGAGGTTGCTCTGCCTTGCTTTTTACTCCCCCCCCCCCCCCACACACACACCTTTGATCCGGCACAGGGCAATAATGGAGGCGCAGCTATTTTTTGAAGATACCTCTCGGGTTATCTCTTAGCCTTTTTAACATAACTTTCTCCTGCAGGTTGAACTCCACCTGCAGCGCACGTATACTGTGTGTTCCTCTATCTTTCACTTAACTCACCGGTTGACAAAGAGGATCATCTGTTTTTGATCCGTCTACTCCCTCCCTCCTTCTTTAATAGTCGGTGATTTCAATGATTGTCACACCCTACGGGGTGACACTCAACAATGATTGCTTCAGTGATTGATGCCCTGGATCTCGGTATCCTAAATAACGGTGACCGCATACTTTTCCATGCCCAGACAAACACGACTTGTGGAATTGATATCTCCTAGAGTTCTCCCGACATCCTTCTTGACTTAACGTGGAGGGTTACGGGAGATCTCTGTGGTAGTGACCATTAACCCGTCCTCCGGCTTTCCCAACGTCTTCCCGTTACCACGTGTCACTCGCTGGCGACTGGACAGAACTGACTGGATGTGGTTTTGGTGTTTCGCCACGGTGGACCAACGTGTTGCAGAGTTCAAGGAAGTTGATAGCGTTGCTGAATACTTCTCCACCATTCTCCAATATTCCGGTGAACTTTCCATACCTTTGATCTCTGGAGGAGTGTAGACACGCTGTGACTGAACGTTGTTAGGCTTGTGATCGATACCGTTGGCTCAAGACTTGACTTTTGTCCAGGAGAATACAAGAGAGACAGCCAAGGCCCGTCGGGTCCTTTCTCAACGTTGGGACGCAAATGTCGCAGGCAAGGTCTATAGAATAGACCTTGGTCACAAGTATGGAAGCAGGTCCGTAAGATAGCAGAAAAGTTCACTCAAAGCCTCCACCCCCCCCTCCCCTCCGGTCCTCAAGATTAATGGGGATAGTCACTGATGGTGGGTGATAGCTGGCATACTTGCTGGGTCTTCTCTGGCATACTTGCTGGGGCCTTCACTGACGTACTTGTTAGGACTTTCTTTGTTGTCAAGTCGCTCTACCAAGGTCTCCAGTGGTGCGTTGACAGTTGGAGGTTTAAAAGTGTCACCAGCTGGGCTTCTTGTCCTAAGGGGGGGGGGGGGAGAGAGTGTTACAATGTCCCTATTCCCTAAGGAAACTACGATCCGTTCTCCCCTTGTAGTGAAACCTCCCCCAGGCCAAATAACCTCTCATACGCCGTGATTCATCACCTAAGTAGCGTGTCCCTATCGTTCTTGCTGGGGCTGTTTATTTGAATGTGGAAAGAGTTTTACCCCTCCTCCTCTAGTAAGACTGCAGTCATCCTTTCCCCTAAGCTCGGTAAGAAGTCGTCTGTTCCTCTCAACTACCAACCCATAGCCCGGACTGTTTGAATGTTTAAACTATATGAGAAGATGGCCAATACGTGTACGGTGTTTAGAGAAGGGTGGACATATATCGACTGTCCAGTGTGGTTTTCATCGATAGCACTCGACGATGGATGGACTTGTTCGGTTGGACACCACCATCTCTCGAGCTTTTGCATCCCGACAGCACGTGGTAGGTGTCGTCCTTGACATAGAGAAGGCATATGACATAGCCTGACGGTACGAGATGCATTACATTCCTTTAGCCTCAAGGATCGGATGTCTTTGTTTATACTTGTACGAGGTTTCCTTAATGATCGTACCTTCAATGTGGTTAGTTACTGCACACTCGGCCACCCTCTCATAGGATGAGGATGTTCCTCCTGGACAGTATCTGCAGTGTTTCCCGATATGCTTTGGCCATTAATGGCATATCCCGAGGATCTTTGTACCACTCTTTACGTGGATTCATTTTTCGTCTCGTCTGCCTCTTCCTGTCTAGATGTGGCCGAACACCATATCCATCTGGTGCTTACCCGTCTGGGCAGACTCCCACGGTTTCCGATTTTCTCAGATTTCAACTGTAGCCATGAAAATTTTCCAGAGCAGGGAGCTTTGTGATGCAGAGACACTCCCGGTAGTGAAGCAGTCTCGCTTTCTGGGTATGGTCCTGGACGACACTTACGAGAATTAAAGAAGTCTTGTTTCCGCCGATGTATCTTATCCGTATGCGTCTCATTCGTTTGTTCTCGCGTGTCTTTTGGGATGCTGATCGGAGCTTGCACCTTCGTACGTTGGTTTGGTCTAAACTTGATCGTGGCTGCGAGCTGTATTCCCCCACGACGCCATCTCGTTTGCGTATTTTATAATGTCCACCACACAGCCTGGATGCAAGTGCTTTTAGATCTACCCCATCCCCAGTACGGCTTTACTGTCCTCCATTTACAGTATACCTCGCCCCCTTTGACTTCCGTGCGGGGTATCTCGTCAAGGAGTTCGGTCTATCCTGTTTTTTGAATGCCTGTTGTATACAAGGCTATTCCACCAAGGCTGCTGTCGGGGTAGAAGAATTACCGATATTTTTGGGGAGTCGAGGGTGCTCATATCCCTGACCATGTTTGATTGCTCTTTTTTTAGAGTTTAAAGCATGCTGCTGAGCACGGTAACTGTTTCCGTCTTTACGGACGGGTCGAAGACGGATGCCGGGCAGGATATTCTGTGGTATCAAGGACCTTTAGTTTCTCCAGTGCGTTACCTATTACTGTAGTGTCTTAATTTTTACGGCTGAGCTATGTGAGGTTTTAGCAGCATTGCAGTGCGTTTTTGTTAAATCCATTACAAAAAAAATTATAACTTCTCACCTACTGGTCGCCAAATTTTTTGAGTGGCTATTTCTACTCAAATGGTGTGGGCGGGTGGTTCAGTTTTGCTAGGTACCTGCTCAAGTCGGGGTTGATGGTAATGAGGTGACCGGTGCGGAGGCGAGGCATGTGGCAGCGGCTGCAAGCGAACCCTAAGGGAGAGGTCTCCTTTTCCGCGACATTCCACCCTGTACTCCTGGGGAAGGTCCATCGCTTGTGGCGGGACAAGTGGGGGTTAAAAAAAAAGAGAATGGATGTGGTACAGCCTCCCACCTGCGACAGTCAGCGTTGTCAATCATCGCCTCAGAGTTATGAACCACGGGAATATGAACCTGCGTCCGAACCATTCGCTAGTGACGTGGAGTGAGAGACCGGGGACGAGAGGGTGATGGGCAGGGTGTGGGGTGGGGGGGCAGGAGTGGTTTTCAACTAGAGGTATTGTGCGGCTAGCAAGACGGGATTTATTATTTAGAAGCAAATAATTAGTCAACCTGTCGCTTAATACCATGATTCACTCATACTTGCTGAACTAATATTTAGTCATTCTTATTTTGTGCAACCACTGTCACCAGAACAGATCCTCACACAAACCTTATTCACACCACACGTGATAATGCTCAACAATACTCACATTTTCTGTAACGCTTGTTGCGAAATGTCGCCTTTGCCTGCTTTAATTACCGGGCAGGAGTCTTATTTGCCTTAATGACCCTTGTGCAATCGATAGGCATTAATCTGTATTTTAAATAAGCGTGGCAGAGCCTAATTACAGGGAACTACTGATATTTGTTTAATGAATATCCATGACATTGGCTGTATAACCAAGGATGAAAAGGAAATTAAGACCTGCAGAATTCATAGAATTGTCAAATTACACAGATTATGTGAAGAGGTGTAATATGATTCGTGTATTTAAGAAGCATTTGACTAAGACGTATGACAGTCTACAGTGGTGTATAAGTTAGCGAGTAGCCGGCCATGGCTAGACTCGGTTTTTACTTATTCTCCATCATCCTCAAAGGTTACTTGCATGATGTAAATAAATACTGAGAATATAAGTTGCCGTATATGCATTTTTTTGGTTCCAATTCATTCAAACAGGCTGAGGACACCCTATGCAAGCATTGGTGTGTATAATTAGGAAGGAAGGTATGCATTAATTACCCAATGGATTGGTTAGCATAATTTTTCTTGGTAAACGACTTTCAAATGATAGTAAACACCGATTCATATTAGAAGAACTTCATTGAAACTTCTTTGTATAGTCATTAAGAGGAAGCATCCGAGAGCAACGTCTTAGCGTCTTAACTAAGCAGGGAAGGATTACAAATTAGATCTAACCACGCTACTCTACCTGGTTAACTACTGCCAGGCGTAGATGTTGCTTTCATTTGCACTCGATCCTATACGTAAATACAGTTGTTTAACACCACCCTTTTTTCAGTGGAAATTACAATTTATGAAGTTTACCCTCCATAATATTAACTGGCCATAAAACTTTCCCAGTCGCAATTTTGTGCACTACACCCGGTACGGATGGCCCGGCCCGCCTGACGATAAGCGCAGGTTAGGGATTAGCACACACACGAGTGTGTATAATTACTCCGAGAAGTTCGCTATATCTGTTATGACAATTTTGTAGTTACTATAATGGGGTTGACTTGCTGTAAATGAAAAGTAATATGCGTATTTTAAGTGGACCTTGTAGGTTATGTATATAAGCTACTGTGCCGAGTAGCAACCCTGTATATAAGCTACTGTGCCGAGTAGCAACCCTGTATATAAGCTACTGTGCCGAGTAGCATTTATATATATCATCACGTGGCAACACTGCACGTTATGTGGCAACATTGCCCCGAGGCTGCCATATGGCAAGGCAGCCTTAGTCTGACTGTGTGAGCCGTGCATGGCACACGCGAGTCACCACTTGTATTTCTCTCATCCATAATAAACGGACTCGGTGTTACTCAGTGTTTCCCTACCCATCACTGCATTCTTCAGGGCACACTAGTAACTTTCAGACCTCATAAAATAGTTTTTTTTTTATGCTAACTTCCCCCACCCACACAGTGTGATTCAAACTGCCAAGCTACTAGTTATCC